AAACTTTTGTTAAATTGTCCACATAGTAGTCAATGGTCCACTAATCTAGTCTACGGTCTAGTGTAGTCTAGACTATAGACTGGTATATAGTCTAATCTATAGTCTAGTCTATAGTCTAGTCTATAGTCTAGTCTACAGTCTAGTCTATAGTCTAGTCTATAGTCTAGTCTATAGTCTAGTCTATAGTCTAGTCTATAGTCTAGTCTATAGTCTAGTCTATAGTCTAGTCTATAGTCTAGTCTATAGTCTAGTCTATAGTCTAGTCTATAGTCTAGTCTATAGTCTAGTCTATAGTCTAGTCTATAGTCTAGTCTAGTCTAGTCTATAGTCTAGTCTATAGTCTAGTCTATAGTCTAGTCTATAGTCTAGTCTATAGTCTAGTCTATAGTCTAGTCTATAGTCTAGTCTATAGTCTAGTCTATAGTCTAGTCTATAGTCTAGTCTATAGTCTAGTCTATAGTCTAGTCTATAGTCTAGTCTATAGTCTAGTCTATAGTCTAGTCTATAGTATAGTCTATAGTCTAGTCTATAGTCTAGTCTATAGTCTAGTCTATAGTCTAGTCTATAGTCTAGTCTAGTCTAGTCTAGTCTAGTCTATAGTCTAGTCTATAGTCTAGTCTATAGTCTAGTCTATAGTCTAGTCTATAGTCTAGTCTATAGTCTAGTCTATAGTCTAGTTATAGTCTAGTCTTTAGTCTAGTCTATAGTCTAGTCTATAGTCTAGTCTATAGTCTAGTCTATAGTCTAGTCTATAGTCTAGTCCTATAGTCTAGTCTATAGTCTAGTCTATAGTCTAGTCTATAGTCTAGTCTATGTCTAGTCTATAGTCTAGTCTATAGTGTAGTCTAAGTCTAGTCTATAGTGGTAGTAGTCTATAGTGTAGTCTAGTCTATAGTGTAGTCTATAGTGTAGTCTAGTCTTTAGTCTAGTCTATAGTCTAGTCTATAGTCTAGTGTATAGTCTAGTCTATACTCTAGTCTATAGTCTAGTCTATACTCTTAGTCTATAGTCTAGTCTATAGTCTAGTCTATAGTCTAGTCTATAGTCTAGTCTATAGTCTAGTCTATAGTCTAGTCTATAGTCTAGTCTATAGTCTAGTCTATAGTCTAGTCTATAGTCTAGTCTATAGTCTAGTCTATAGTCTAGTCTATAGTCTAGTCTATAGTCTAGTCTATAGTCTAGTCTATAGTCTAGTCTATAGTCTATAGTCTAGTCTATAGTCTAGTCTATAGTCTAGTCTATAGTCTAGTCTATAGTCTAGTCTATAGTCTAGTCTATAGTCTAGTCTATAGTCTAGTCTATAGTAGTCTAGTCTAGTCTATAGTCTAGTCTATAGTCTAGTCTATAGTCTAGTCTAGTCTATAGTCTAGTCTATAGTCTAGTCTATAGTCTAATCTATAGTCTAGTCTATAGTCTAGTCTATAGTCTAGTCTATAGTCTAGTCGATAGTCTGGTCTGTAGTCTGGTCTATAGTCTAGTCTATAGTCTAGTATATAGTATAGTCTATTATCTAGTATATAGTATAGTCAATTGTCTAGTCTATAGTCTAGTCTATAGTCTAGTCTATAGTCTAGTCTATAATCTAGTCTATAGTCTAGTCACATTTTTAATTCTACAAGATTCTCTACCATCATCGCCATTTCATAAAGCTTTTAGTACAATCATGTAAATGTCTGGCCAAAATAATATTTCGGATCATTTTTGGATCACAATTTACATTCAAAGAATCGTGTAGAATGAAATCTCAAGACAAACATGATTAATAGATTTTTAAAAATTGATTTGTATTCTTTGGATACAGATAAATCTTTGTTAAGTATAGCATTATAAAATTTCTCAAATCGAGAAATTTTTTCGTTGCTAATTAGGTTAAGTTGCAAAACAGGTAGAAAATAACAATTTCATTCAACATATTTCGATATCTTTGTTTTGAAAGAAAATCTAACAAACACATTCCTTTTTTGTTAACAAAAGTAGGCGTTTGTGGGATTCCTGCTGATACTTTAAGGGATTTGGTACTTGCAACACCTGCTTTAGGATAATGAAAGGATTTAGAAAATGTGGTATACTTATGTATAATATATATAGATTATTAGATTGATAAGTAATACATATGCCATTTAAATTTTAGTACTTGTGGATTAAAAATGATTACACAGACCAACAAGATTGAGATATCTCGCAAAAAGGAAGAAGATGTAACACAAAGGTCTAACCTTTATTTTAAAGCCGACAGATTAAACTTTCAGAAAAATCTATCTTTTATACACTAAGTTCGGCAATCGTGTCTTAGAGCTGTAATTTGGCCGCTTTAGAGTTCCAATTTGTGCTCTTTAGTGTGTTTCCTGTAGGATGCCGTTATACACAAAATTATCCAAGACATTCGCGACATAGAAACCATTAACAAAAGTTTTGGAAAACCGGACTGGTGGGGTAAGCTTCTGCGAAGTTTTGAGACTTTTAATTTACCTCTTTTGACAAACTTCTTGAATTGTTTTTAAAAAGGGTTTCATGTGGAAATACTTGAGATTTTGAAAACTTGCATTGATGTTTCAAATATGATTTTGAGAGCCTGCGTTCTCAAAATTTTAGGTTAAGATATTTCACAAAAGGAAGAAGATATAACAGATGTTAAAGCTTTATTTTGGAATTTCCGATGACATAATAATGTAATTAAAGGTGACTTTGCTCTTTTGTAACGTGTCAAATATGGCAAAAAACGAGGTTTTTCAAAACCCTCGATAGGTATCTCGAAAACTTTATGGGATTGAGGAATTCTGAGGTCATATTCGGTCAATGGGTTAAACATTTGTTGACCTGTATAATCAACGATACATATATAGAGCTTTGATAAAAAGTTAATATTTTTATGTTCTACAGAGATTTTTTAATTTTCGGAAAAGGATTGATTGCTATTAAATATCGAGCAACGAAAATTATTAAGTTTAGAATAATTAAACCATTAAAGTGATTCTCAGTTACTTGGTTTACATATATATATACATTGAAATTACTTTAAAGGAAAAAATATAGCAATTTTTAAGGTTATATAATAAGTATTTTTTGATTCTTCTATCTTTTCACATTTTCGGGGGTTGTTTTCTTAAGATTAAACTTTTTATACTTGACATTGGTTAGCAATTTACTAAAAAAAAGTTTGATTATAAATTATTTTAAAGAATTTCATGGTGATAGGTCAGTTATAATTTATTATAATTAATAAATGAATGCATTTAAATGAAATCCCACAAAGTTGCTTATAAACTTTACATTAGTGAAAGTTGGTAGACTAGACTAGGAAGTTTAAGTGAATGTGGAAGCCTTGTCTAAAAGAAAACTTCTCAAATATCTTTTGTGGCTGAGTTTTAAATTACAGACAATTTTAAACTAGACCAAATAATATTACAACTTTTGTTATTGCTTTCTGGGTAAAAGAATGTTGTTAACATGTTTTTCTTTTTTCTTCAGATATAAACAATTCGATACGAATACAAGGGATTCGTAGTTTAGTTAGAAAATCGATATTTGTTTTACAACAGCATCAACACAATAGTCGTGGCTGTTGTCGCCGTTTTAGTCGTCGTCGGGTTTATTATAAATGTTTTTTTTCGTTTAAATTTTCGTTTCATTTCATATGTATCTAAATGCAATTGGGAAATGGAGTTTGGGGATAGTGGTGGTGGTGGCGGTGTTGAGGGAGGATGAATGTAATTCCATAGACGACATTAGACAAAAGGATAGACGGGAATAGAAGAAAAATATCCAAAAAAGAAATTAAGCTGAAATGAAAAGAGAGATACATAGATAGAGAGAGAGGCCAAAGAAAAAATCCTATGGCAAATACACAATTTTTCATGCAGACAAGAACACAGAAACAAACTACATACATATACACAACTATAAGTACCGGCGTAGCGAACAAACTAACGAATACACGACATACATGTATCTAGATACGTACTCAAGGAAACAATGAAAAACATGAGACGACATTCCACATACAACATCAATAACAATAACAACAATTATAATAATTTCCATTCAGCACTGCAAACTAGTTTAGGAACAACGCTAAAGACACACAACCCAAAAACAAAAAAATCGTCACACATTCAGCCACTGGGGAGAGAGAGTACTGAGACTTGACTGCAAAATGCAAAAACCAGTTAAGAAATCACACGGGCGTGTGTGTTTTTGGCGACGACGACAACGACGCATCAATCGGCGATTGCATTCAAACGGTTTCAGACCAGACGGAAGAATAACATTTTTCAATTTCTGTCCAAATTACAAACAGTATTAAATTACAGTGAGGTGGTAGCAACAAAAAAAAAAAAAAAACTGAAAAAATTAAAAAATACATATATAGTACATAAAGATACATACTATATAGTATATATGTATAATATATAAAGAAAAAGATACATAATCTGAAAAAGAAAAAGTTGCGTTTTAAAACTCAAAAGAATTTTAAACGAAACCTAAAACAAATTAAAAGATTTATCAAGAAAATGTCCCTGATACCGTTCATTTTGGATTTGGCAGATGAACTCCATGAGTTTAGCCGTTGCCTGGCCAATGGTATAGATATAAATGACTTTGGTTTTGGTCTCTATACTGGTACGGATCAGCAGCATCAGCCACAACAGCACCAGCAGCAACAACAACAACAGCAGCAGCAACAACATCAGCCGCAAACCAGTCCCAGACGTAGTCGCACCTCATCTTTTTCATCGTTTTGGATGCCCTCGAAACGTCATCATCCCTATAATCGCATTAAAACGGCCTGCTGTGCCAAGTCTGGCGAGGAAGCAGTTGCTGGTACTCCGGAAAATTCCGGCAAGGAAGCGTCTGGTTCCTCGAGCGTTGTTGGAGCTGGTGGTGGTACACCGGGCAAATCGGCCTCCTATTCGGTGGTCAATAAGAATGGCTTCCAAGTAAGCATGAATGTTAAGCAATTTGCACCGAATGAGCTGTCGGTGAAAACAATCGATAACTGCATTGTGGTCGAAGGCAGACATGACGACAAGGAAGATGGTCATGGCGTCATTTCGAGGCATTTTGTACGCAAGTATATGTTGCCAAAGGGTTACGATCCCAATGATGTGCTCTCGACTTTGTCTTCGGATGGTATATTGACGGTAAAGGCTCCACCACCACCACCGCCGGCTGCGAAAAACGACGAACCCAATGAGCGGATTATAGAAATTCAGCCGACACCAGGACCAACCCCAGTATTGGTGGTGTCTGCAAAGGATATAACAGTAAAGGAAACATCGAAGAAATTACCAACAACAGCAATTCCATCGGCTCGTTTGGAGTGTCAGTTGCCCGAAAAGAGACAAAAACTGGATTTACCTCCAGAAACAGAGCCGGAGGAGGCTGTAGTTTCTTCAGCACCAATACCAGCTACAAACACAATTAATGAAACTGATGCAGCATCGGTTGCTGTAGCAGGAACAGAAGAAGTTGTAAACGACGATGTTGAAATGGAGAAAGCCGATGAACAAATCAACGAAATTGTGCTTAAACAGACGGAACAACAACAACAATCAGATGTTAAGGAAACTGACAAGAATGATGTAGAGAAAAAAGTTGAAAACATTGAACAAACGGAAAAACAAATTGCTGCTAAGGAACAGGAAGAACAGGCTGAAAATGTAGACGAGACTGAGAAAAAATTGCTGGATGAGTGCATGTCCGATTCGAATGGTGATGCAAAAAACGATTGTGAAAAAATGGAAGTGTCTACAAGTATTACAGATGCAACACAAGCAGCAACAGAGAAAACCAACGAGTCTGCGGCTGCAACTAAATTGGAAGAGAGTTCGATTGAAAAATCTAATGTAGCAAAAATGGAGGTGGATGGTGAAGTTAATAAAGCTGTTGGCCAACGTAATGATAATGTTGCTAAGAAAACAGACAATACAGAAATCTTTGTAGCCATTCTTAAAACGTGTAGCGTAAAAACGGCTGTTAAACCAGCTGCTGCAGCGGTAATCGCAGCTGATTCTGCAAAACAGAAAAAAGACACAGAGACAACTAATAACACAGATACTTCCAGCAGCATCAGCACCACCACAATTAACACTACCAATAATAACAACAATACCAGCACAAATAGCAACACAACCACTACCAATAACTCGACTTCCACTGATGTTGCCACAGAAAAAACGGCAAAAGATGTTAAAGATGGAAATGGTGTTGTAACCGGCGAAATTTCAGATGATATTCCAAAGTCTGCTAATGCAGACAGTGATGCTGCTACTGCTGCTGCTACAGCTAAAGTTTCTACAGACAACAGCAGTAAGGCTGAATCTGTGGCCGATGGAGATGTTGAAATGGAAACAGCTGTATTGAGTACTGACACAACAACCACAACAACAGCTACAACAAACATTATTGATGATGTTGCTCTACTCAAGGCTGCAACAGCTGACCCAGCCGATATAACAGACAACAATGCTGAGGAAAATGACATACTCACCGAAACCATGGATGGCATAACAACTACCGCAGACTCAAACACAACCGCAACCACAGTCGACAATGTTGAATGTTCACTGTTTGCAAAAAAATCGCATTTAGGTAATGGCAACAATACAACAGCAACACCACTAGTGGGTACCGAAGAAATGGCCAATTAAAAAATATGTACACATTTATTTTCTACCCAAACCCCCTTCCCTTCTCCTACACCCTCCCCCAAAAAACAGACTTATTTAGAATGCAAAACAGAGTCCCCGCAGGAACGAGAGAAAGAAAAAACGACCGAACGATTAAGTAGAGTTATAAAAATGAAAAATTTAACATTTTAGACGGGAAAAAAGAGGAACTGACAAGAGTATTTAACAACTCTCATACGAGTTACTCGAAAATACAACAACTACTTATACTATAGTACTAAACTCTAAGAAAAAAAAGACAAATTCTACATGTAGTAGCAAAAAATAAAAATTAAATTAAAAAAAAAAAAAAAAATAACTGTCTGCAAAATGTTAGAAATCAGCAGCAGCGGCAGTAAATGCTTTTTTTAAACAAATAAAATAAAATATATTATTACAATTAAATTCGTTTCTTATTTGTGAACAATTATTTATATATGTTTTTAATGTCTTATAGTATTTCTTTGGCTGCCTAAGACTGCCAATTTTCCTATATTTTACATGAAATTATTCCTAACTTTTTTTTAAATGATTTTTTTTAATATATTTTTTTTTATAATTTCTATATATTTAAGTACCATAGTTTTCATACTGATAAATAAAATTAAAAATATTATTATAATAAAATGAAAGGAAAAAATTGAAAATGAATAGCAGCATACTTTAAAAATAAAACAAAAATTAATAAAAAATATAACTATTTCAACTATTTAATTTTAAGTATTTACTTTAAATACCACTTAAAAAAATAAATCAAATAATTACATAAACATTATAATAAATGAGAAATAAAAAACAATATTAATTATAAAATAATTAATAATATAAACCAGAAAAATATATAAATATATTACGAAAAAAAAAAATCACAGATTTTTTTTTTGATTTCAAAACCTAATTACAACAGCCTCTTAATTACGGATGATGAATGAATGAATGAATAAATTCATAAAATAAAATTTTCTGAAACAAAAGTTTAATAAAACATCTTAATTGCATAATTGTATTTATGTGAAAAATAAATAAAGTAATTTTGCGTGTGTTTTGTTTTATTTCAACTTTAAGAAAATCATGAATGGTGGTGTTTAAACGATTTTTAATTAAAATTTTTGAGAAAAAGAAAAAAATATATGATAAAAGATTAAGATGTGCAGTTTAAACCCCATATCGCTTTAGTCTATAGTCTAGTTTAGAGTCTAGTTTATAGTCTAGTTTATAGTCTAGTTTATAATCTAGTCTATAGTCTAGTCTATAGTTTAGTCTACAGTCTAGTCTATTGTCTAGTCTATAGTCTAGTCTATAGTCTAGTCCATAGTTTAGTCTACAGTCTAGTCTAATGTCTAGTCTATAGTCTAGTCTATAGTCTAGTCTATAGTTTAGTCTATAGTCTAGTATATAGTCTAGTCCATAGTTTAGTCTACAGTCTAGTCTATAGTCTAGCCTATAGTCTAGTCTATAGTCTAGCCTATAGTCTAGTCTATAGTCTAGCCTATAGTCTAGTCTATAGTCTAGTCTATAGTCTAGCTATAGTCTAGTCTATAGTCTAGTCTATAGTCTAGTCTATAGTTTAGTCTATAGTTTAGCCTATAATCTAGTCTATAGTCTAGTCTATAGTCTAGTCTATAGTCTAGTCTATAGTCTAGTCTATAGTCTAGCCTATAGTCTAGTCTATAGTCTAGTCTATAGTCTAGTCTATAGTCTAGTCTATAGTCTAGTCTATAGTCTAGTCTATAGTCTAGTCTATAGTCTAGTCTATAGTCTAGTCTATAGTCTAGTCTATAGTCTAGTCTATAGTCTAGTCTATAGTCTAGTCTATAGTCTAGTCTATAGTCTAGTCTATAGTCTAGTCTATAGTCTAGTCTATAATCTAGTCTATAGTCTAGTCTATAGTCTAGTCTAGTCTATAGTCTAGTCTATAGTCTAGTCTATAGTCTAGTCTATAGTCTAGTCTATAGTCTAGTCTATAGTCTAGTCTAGTATAGTCTAGTCTATAGTCTAGTCTGTAGTCTAGTCTATAGTCTAGTCTATAGTCTAGTCTATAGTCTAGTCTATAGTCTAGTCTATAGTCTAGTCTATAGTCTAGTCTAGTCTAGTCTAGTCTAGTCTAGTCTATAGTCTAGTCTATAGTCTAGTCTATACTCTAGTCTATAGTCTAGTATATGGTCTAGTCTATAGTCTAGTCTATAGTCTAGTCTATAGTCTAGTCTATAGTCTAGTCTATAGTCTAGTCTATAGTCTAGTCTATAGTCTAGTCTATACTCTAGTCTATAGTCTAGTCTATACTCTAGTCTATAGTCTAGTCTATAGTCTAGTCTATAGTCTAGTCTATAGTCTAGTCTATAGTCTAGTCTATAGTCTAGTCTATAGTTAGTCTATAGTCTAGTCTATAGTCTAGTCTATAGTCTAGTCTATAGTCTAGTCTATAGTCTAGTCTATAGTCTAGTCTATAGTCTAGTCTATAGTCTAGTCTATAGTCTAGTCTATAGTCTAGTCTATAGTCTAGTCTATAGTCTAGTCTATAGTCTAGTCTATAGTCTAGTCTATAGTCTAGTCTATAGTCTAGTCTATAGTCTAGTCTATAGTCTAGTCTATAGTCTAGTCTATAGTCTAGTCTATAGTCTAGTCTATAGTCTAGTCTATAGTCTAGTCTATAGTCTAGTCTATAGTCTAGTCTATAGTCTAGTCTATAGTCTAGTCTATAGTCTAGTCTATAGTCTAGTCTATAGTCTAGTCTATAGTCTAGTCTATAGTCTAGTCTATAGTCTAGTCTATAGTCTAGTCTATAGTCTAGTCTATAGTCTAGTCTATAGTCTAGTCTATAGTCTAGTCTATAGTCTAGTCTATAGTCTAGTTTATAGTCTAGTATATAGTCTAGTCTATAGTCTAGTCTAGTCTATAGTCTACATAGTCTATAGTCTAGTCTAGTCTATAGTCTAGTCTAGTCTATAGTCTAGTCTATAGTTTATTCTGTAGTTTAAAGAAAATTAGTTTAGTGCTTTCAAACCTAAAAAGTACATTTCTAAATTTCAATTTTCCATGCCTGGTGTGGACTTTGGTTTATACTTAAGACTATAGTTTGGCATACAGTAAAGACTCTAGACTATAATTTAGTCAATACTCTATACTATATTTCAGACAATATTTAAGTCTATAGTTTTGCTTTAGTCTATAAACTATACTATAGTTTAGTTTATATCTATAGTCGACATTATAGTTTAGTCAGTAGGCTAGACAATAGTTTGGTTCATAGTGTAGCCAATGGTTTAGTCTTAAGTCTAGACTATAGTTTATTCTAAAATATAGATATAGTTAAATTAAAAGTCTATACTAAAGTTTAGTATGAATTTTTGTGGACGGTCTAGACTCTGGACGAATGTCAATATCTCCATTAGCTCTTGTTTATTCAAAATGTAAACAAATAAAATTGTTTATTAAAAGAAATCAAAACAAATGAATCACTAATCTATCTATTATGAAAAACCTTTGTAATTGTAATGAACATCGCAAAATCAACGTCAAATCCCAATACTAGATTTTTACACTGAGAAGAAAATTGAAAAAGCAACTAAGTTAAATGATTAGTCAATAAATGTACAAAGTAAATTACCACGCTCACAAATACTTAATAAATTTGGCTATAATTCTAAGTTCTTAGACAAATTCAAACAAATAAAACCAAAATAAGAAAATTATGTACATTTCTTTTTGGCTGCTGCTCACCTTAGGCAAAAGATCTTGAGAAAATTTCAATTCATTCAGTTGCCAAACCTTTTAATCACCACACACGAGTGAAACGATTTTTAAATAAACAGATTATTAAGTTTTAAAAAAATATATTTAGTTTTTTTTTGGTTTATAACAGAATAAAGTACAAATGGCACTTTTGCCAAGCAGCTATTATCGCGATCTTGCGCGTGAATTCGATCGTCCACGCTATTATCCACCATACGATTTTCATTTGTATCCCTACCTTTGGGATGATCCGCGTCTGTTGTGGCCCTCTAGTTCGCTGCTAAGACCAATGGACGAATTAGTAACGCGTCGTGTACGTAATCAATACATTCAAAATCATCTACTTGACTGGTCGTATCCTCTGGTCTGGGATAATTTCTACAATGGTGAACGTGTTCGTATCGATGAAAAGGGCTTCCAAGTTAACATCGATGTGAGCCAATTTAGGCCTCATGAGATTGAGGTAAAGACCAACGATGATTATATCATTGTAGAGGGTAAGCATGGCAGACGCACGGACAGTGGCAACAGTTATGTGGAACGTCGTTTTCTACGCAAATATCTTTTGCCCAGAGGCTTTGATCCCAACGATGTTGTTTCGGATTTATCCACAAATGGTTATTTAACCATAAAAGTTCCACCGCCACCACCGCCTAAAAAAACATTTAAGTCTATTGAACGCCAGGTGAAAGTCAATGAAACGGGAAAATATGCTATACCTTGGAAATAATTAATCACTCGACATGAATAGATGGATAGCAGAGAGAGGCGTAACGAAATGATTAGAGAATATTCTATTGGCAGGCAGCTTTAGTGAAATCAGTGAACAATGAAAAGTGCAAGTGGATGTGTATTAAAAATTAAATAATTTATATACATTTTCATTAACCTTTGTGGCTTCTTTGGGGGTCACATTCTGCGGCTCATTAATATAAAAATAATAAAATTCGTGAAATAAAAAAAATACTTAATTAAATGTTTTAAGATTTGTTCAAAATGTAATAAAATTAAAATAAGTTTTAAAATAAATCTCATATTTAACTAAAAATAAAAAATGTTAAATTTCTTCCTAAATAAATCATTAAAGGATCCCTCAAGGGTTAATAAACAAATAGACACCCGAATAAAATGTACTTGATTTTATTTAGATACACCACCACGTACAGGAAATAAAACAATTTTCAAGGTTATAAAATTCTATATTTAATTTCACATTTCGTCAAATTTATTTGTGTAAATAAACAAAAATAAATGAATAAATAAATAAAATTAAAAATAAAAATAAAAATAAAGAAAATGAAAATTGTATTCAAAAAAACTTGAAATTCACTGTAAGCGATTTTATTTATCCCATAAATATTTAACATTAAATTTTGAACATTGACAGTGAAAGAGTAGTGTGACGTAAAGCAAAATGATCGTAGCAAATAGTTGCAGTATTTTAAGTTTATCATAAGATTTGATTTAGTATAAACTATATAGTGTGGTAAAATTCAAAATAATTTTTTAGTCTTACCATATTTTAGTTTAAAGACTAGACCGTTATTTAGCCAATACTTTGGAGCACAGTTAAGGCTATGGTTAAGAGTATTATCTAGTTTAATCCACAGTCTATACAATGGTTTTGTCAAGTCTACACAAGAGTTTATTCTATAGTCTAGACAACGGTGTAGACTACATATAGTTGGACTGAAGTTTAGTTTATAGACTAAAGTTTTGTCCGTAGTCTAGACTACAGTTTGATCTGTACTTTAGACTGTACTAGACTATAGTTTAGTATAGACCAGACATGAAAATCAGTACTTTAGAGCCTTTTGATATTGAAAAAATACCACGGTATAGTCTATAGTGTAGTCCATAGTCTAGTCTATAGTCTAGTCTATAGACTAGTCTATAGTTTAGTCTATAGCCTAGTCTATAGTCTAGTCTATAGTCTATTCTATAGTCTAGTCAATAGTCTAGTCTATAGCCTAGTCTATAGCATAGCCAACAGCCTAGTCTATAGCCTAGTCTATAGTCCAGTCTATAGTCCAGTCTATAGTCTAGTCTATAGTCTAGTCTATAGTCTAGTCTATAGTCTAGTGTATAGTCTAGTCTATAGTCTAGTCTATAGTCTAGTCTATAGTCTAGTCTATAGTCTAGTCTATAGTCTAGTCTATTATAGTCTAGTCTATAGTCTAGTCTATAGTCTATTCTATAGTCTAGTCTATAGTCTAGTCTATAGTCAGTCTATAGTCAAGTCTATAGTCAGTCTATAGTCTAGTCTATAGTCTAGTCTATAGTCTAGTCTATAGTCTAGTCTATAGTCTAGTCTATAGTCTAGTCTATAGTCTAGTCTATAGTCTAGTCTATAGTCTAGTCTATAGTCTAGTCTATAGTCTAGTGTATAGTCTAGTCTATAGTCTAGTCTATAGTCTAGTGTATAGTCTAGTCTATAGTCTAGTCTATAGTCTAGTCTATAGTCTAGTCTATAGTCTAGTCTATAGTCTAGTCTATAGTCTAGTCTATAGTCTAGTCTATAGTCTAGTCTATAGTCTAGTCTATAGTCTAGTCTATAGTCTAGTCTATAGTCTAGTCTATAGTCTAGTCTATAGCCTAGTGTTTAGTCTAGTCTATAGTCTAGTCTATAGTCTAGTCTATAGTCTAGTCTATAGTCTAGTCTATAGTCTAGTCTATAGTCTATTCTATAGTCTAGTCTATAGTCTAGTCTATAGTCTATTCTATAGTCTAGTCTATAGTCTAGTCTATAGTCAAGTCTATAGTCAAGTCTATAGTCAAGTCTATAGTCTAGTCTATAGTCAAGTCTATAGTCTAGTCTATAGTCTAGTCTATAGTCTAGTCTATAGTCTAGTCTATAGTCTAGTCTATAGTCTAGTCTATAGTCTAGTCTATAGTCTAGTCTATAGTCTAGTCTATAGTCTAGTCTATAGTCTAGTCTATAGTCTAGTCTATAGTCTAGTCTATAGTCTAGTCTATAGTCTAGTCTATAGTCTAGTCTATAGTCTAGTCTATAGTCTAGTCTATAGTCTAGTCTATAGTCTAGTCTATAGTCTAGTCTATAGTCTAGTCTATAGTCTAGTCTATAGTCTAGTCTATAGTATAGTCTATAGTCTAGTCTATAGTCTAGTCTATAGTCTAGCCTATAGTCTAGTCTATAGTCTAGCCTATAGTCTAGCCTATAGTCTAGTCTATAGTCTAGTCTATAGTCTAGTCTATAGTCTAGTCTATAGTCTAGTCTATAGTCTAGTCTATAGTCTAGTCTATAGTCTAGTCTATAGTCTAGTCTATAGTCTAGTCTATAGTCTAGTCTATAGTCTAGTCTAGTCTATAGTCTATAGTCTAGTCTATAGTCTATAGTCTAGTCTATAGTCTAGTCTATAGTCTAGTCTATAGTCTAGTCTATAGTCTAGTCTATAGTCTAGTCTATAGTCTAGTCTATAGTCTAGTCTATAGTCTAGTCTATAGTCTAGTCTATAGTCTAGTCTATAGTCTAGTCTATAGTCTAGTCTATAGTCTAGTCTATAGTCTAGTCTATAGTCTAGTCTATAGTCTAGTCTATAGTCTAGTCTATGGTCTAGTCTATAGTCTAGTCTATAGTCTAGTCTATAGTCTAGTCTATAGTCTAGTCTATAGTCTAGTCTATAGTCTAGTCTATAGTCTAGTCTATAGTCTAGTCTATAGTCTAGTCTATAGTCTAGTCTATAGTCTAGTCTATAGTCTAGTCTATAGTCTAGTCTATAGTCTAGTCTATAGTCTAGTCTAGTCTATAGTCTAGTCTATAGTCTAGTCTATAGTCTAGTCTATAGTCTAGTCTATAGTCTAGTCTATAGTCTAGTCTATAGTCTAGTCTATAGTCTAGTCTATAGTCTAGTCTATAGTCTAGTCTATAGTCTAGTCTATAGTCTAGTCTATAGTCTAGTCTATAGTCTAGTCTATAGTCTAGTCTATAGTCTAGTCTATAGTCTAGTCTATAGTCTAGTCTATAGTCTAGTCTATAGTCTAGTCTATAGTCTAGTCTATAGTTTAGTCTATAGTCTAGTCTATAGTCTAGTCTATAGTCTAGTCTATAGTCTAGTCTATAGTCTAGTCTATAGTCTTGTCTAGTCTATAGTCTATAGTCTAGTCTAGTCTAGTCTAGTCTATAGTCTAGTCTAGTCTATAGTCTATAGTCTATAGTCTATAGTCTATAGTCTAGTCTAGTCTATAGTCTAGTCTAGTCTAGTCTATAGTCTAGTCTAGTTTAGTCTAGTCTAGTCTATAGTCTAGTCTATAGTCTAGTCTATAGTCTAGTCTATAGTCTAGTCTATAGTCTAGTCTATAGTCTACTCTATAGTCTAGTCTATATTCTATATCACTTTGTAGTCTAGTCTAGTCTAGTCTATAGTCTAGTCCAGTTTAGTCTAGTCTAGTCTAGTCTATAGTCTAGTCTATAGTCTAGTCTATAGTCTAGTCTATAGTCTACTCTATAGTCTAGTCTATATTCTATATCACTTTGTAGTCTAAACTTTTCACTAATTTTTCATTTGGAGCGATATTTAAGAGTCTATAGCTGTTATGTTTTTCTTATAAAAATCAATTTGAAGGAAAATGTGAGGGATCACAGATTTACACTTATTTTCTCAATTGGAGAGTTATTTACGGATCTATAGACAAGACTACAGTGTAGGCTTCAGAGTCTAGACTATAGTGTGGTTCATAGTCGGTTCTATAGTCAAATTAGATGTCAACAGAAAACCACCATCATTGTTTTGTTTTTTAATTAACAATTTATTATATTTTAATTAAATATTTTTTAAAACTACAATCACATGTACATATTTATATCACACTACGACTATAAATCAGTCCGAATTCTCTATAATACAATCCTTTTAGAAATTTGTTCAACTATTATTGTCATCTCTTTAATTATTCTCCTTTTTAGTGGCAGCACCTTCTTCCGCCGATTCTTTGGATTTAATGGAAGCTGCATCCACACGTTGAATAGGAATTTCACGAGCTTTTTCCTCAATTTGTGGCTTAGGAACACTAACAGTGAGTACGCCATCCGATGTTAGGGTAGAGATGGCATTATCCGCCTCATAGCCATTTGGCAAAGCCACGCGACGAATAAAATGGCGTGAAACATAACCGCTGTTATCATGTTGTTCCTCCGATTTACCCTCCACAATCACATGATTATCCACAACTTTGACGGTAAGTTCCTCAGGTTTAAATTCGGATACATTCATAGAAACTTGATAGCCATCTTTGTTGATTTTACCCAATTCCTCTTGTACCATACGATTCATGTGATTCCAGGGAGCCACTCGATAAGTGCTGGCAAATGGATATTCAAAGAATGGTGAAGATGGCATAGCCAAGCGTCTCAAATCTTCTGCCATACGCCATAGAATTGGTAGAGTACGCATTTTCGTTTATATTTGTTGTATAAATTTGTTCACTGGGTTATGAAAAACTTTTCTTTAGCGTGTATTTGCTAATTGCACGATTTGTTTAGTACTTGGATTTGTTATCTACTGATAACAGAGTGTCGTTGGGCATTCCTATTTATACCATAACAAAGTCAGAGTCAGTTAGCTGTGGGTATATTCTCTTAATAAATCCATTGAATACGAGAATGTTCTCGTTATTTGTTGTATTTTTACTTTTAAGAGTATTTTAGTTTTTTGAGAGTATAAATTGTATTTGTGCAATACATATTTGCTATCTCATAGAATTGTTTTTAATATGAACAAGGGCAAATAGTATTTGTTGTTAATGTACAAGTTCAGTTTTTAATGGTTCATTGGCCGAACTTTCAGGAAAGTTGTAGAATATTTGAGTGTGATGAAATGTTTTGGGTGTTCTTAGTAATGTGTAATTGCAGCAATTGTGTAGAAAGTGATATTGTAGAAATATGCAAATGATTTATCTTTGATTCATAATCATTGATGAAAAATTATTTTTAAAATT